CTGATGGGTAATTCCGATCAGAGTTTAGAAGACCATAATGCTAATAGAAATGCACATAATAAAGCCCCAACTACGGAGGTTTCAGAGTCACAAGGGCTCTGACAGTAAAGGGACTGCAGGCTGTGTCACTACACGGTGGCAGAAATTTTGTCTTCAGTATTTCTATGTCCTGAGACTTCTCAGGAGACTGAGATTAAGGATGGCGGATGGATAATTTAATCTATTGGTGAAAATGTCAAGGCAGCTTAGTATTCATGCTGAGACCTGGCACAGCTGGCTGCTTCTGTCTGCACTTACAGTGAGATGTGGGAACACAAAGCAGAAGAGAAAAATTCGAAAAACTCAAATTCTGGTCCAAAAGGAACGATGTGTAAAGTTGAGACCAAAGAAAAAGTCATTGTTAAGAGATTAATGCCTTAGAAAAGACAAATGCTTTGGACAGGATCAAGAAGAAAGATACTTTGAGGGCATGTCAGATATCAGCAAGAACCCACTACCCAACACAAGTTCAAAGATGCAAAAGCAAAAACTTTCCACTTGAGAAGAGAGTACCTGAGCCCCCATCTGAGAATAAGGTATTGGGAAATTGGTCCCCAGGGTTCACTCTACCATGGCCACCCAGACACTCAGAAGACTGAAGACTTTGGCTGACAGCAGACCTTGACGCCATCCACTCAATGTCTGTGTTCCCAGCTTTCAGAAAAACGGCAGTGCAGGGTGAAGGAGGCTTCCACTTAGAGTTTGAAAGACGACCTTGGAGACTAGTCGAGGAATCCCTGAGAGGGCAGTGCATGGACCTGTGGGAGCGATGTCGAAGGTGCGGAGGAGACTGCAGAAGCTGAAGACAGTCTGCTGAAGGACGCCGCAGGCTGTGAGTGGCTCCAACCCGAGGGAGAGGTCGTGTGGGCAGCAACAAGCGAGGCAAAGGGGTGACGATGCCCCTGTCCCTGGAGCCCACCTCTCACCATGTGTCTGGACGCTGGATATGGAACTATAGGATTCACCGTGTGCCCTGCTGGGGTCACTCTTGCTAACCTGTATTCGTTTTTTATCCCTCTATTCTTGATTGTTGGAATGGGAAAGTTAACCTTGTGCCACTGTATCTCAGGATTATGTTACTCTAAAAATCCTTTAACAGGTGATCACAGCTAGACATTTGCCTTGATGCCCATCGGAGCTTCTGATTTGCACTTGCCAGGATGCTGAAATTTTGGAGAGGCAGTGGCTGTGTTTGGTTTAAGGACCAGTTGCACCACATTGGGAAGAATGGTTAACACATCATTTTATTTGGAGATGAAGTACGGTTTAAGAAGACATATTTGGGTGGCAAGCTGACACAGGTGGATTATGACCGGGAATTGTGTAGGTCAGCTTGATTAAGGAGCACCCGGGGGATTAGTAAAGCATGCTTCCGTTTATGTCTTGGGGGGGTCACAGCGGGGGGCCCTGGGTATCCTCTCTAGCCGCTGCCCCTTCCTCTCTGGCACTGCTGTCCTCCTCTGCTTCCTGGCCACCATGGACAGAGCATCTTTGTTCCACCACATCCTTCGCTATGATGCTCTGCCTTGCAGCCAGCTGACCATGGACTGACTCCCCTAAACTGAAGCAAATAAACCTCTCATTGCTCAGACTGTGGCTTTGGGGAGTGTTTCCTCTCCATGACGGGAAAGCTGACAAATGCAGCATCTGGTACTTTGGATGCCCAGCAGGACTTTGGGAGCAAAGAAATGGTCCTGACTCATCGACCACGAATTACACAGCAAGGATTTCAACCTGTCTAAACTAACAGGCCACGAAAGTGTCTACCAATTTCCATTCCAAAGGAGGCCCTGAGGAAGGTTTTACAATATCTTTCCAATTATGCTTCTCATATTGATGAATATGCACCATTTTCATGGGCAAAATCATAAAATTTCAGGAGCGATTAGCTGCAGTAGAATGCCTGCACCTGACTAGAATACAGGAAGACATGGTTACTCCAATCTTTGCTTGCTTTTCGGCTTCTCCTTTGATTGCCTTAAGATTTCTTCTGCACCTTCCTAAACCTGAGGGATTTCTGCAAGCAGCTGGTGGACTGGTTACTTATTTAAAATTCCAGTAATCAAAGCAGTCAAGAACACACTTGGTTCAAACCAGTGACACCTGAACTATCACACAGTAGCCTTCTTTCACTTCATGCAGACGACAGACAGGAAGGAAGTGTTCTCAGCACACTGAAGCAATGCTAAAGGTGAGTGACAGCCGGAACAGCCAGCGTTGGAAGAAGTGCTGCTTTATGGATGATGTATGAGAGATTGTTCAAAGAAATTCTTTGTTTCCTGTAATTATGTTAATTTCTAATTTTTTAACATAGAAAAAATTTCTCAACATGTTTAAAAATTTGCCCAAATCAAAACTTTTAATATTAAATATATCAAGTCAACAAGTACCATTTTTTTCAATACATAGACTTTTCAGGTTCAGAAAAAGTTTTGTCTTTCACAGTGCTCATTTCTCAGATAAAAGCAAGGTCTGACTAAGCACATTATAGAAATGTAACTTTTTGCATTAAACCACAAGCTTTTCTTAGTTATTTTTTGCCACATAGTTTTCTCCTGATTTCTATTTACTAATGACAGTGAAAACAGTAAGATAAAATGTATCACATTCAAGAATTAGAAAAGTTTCAAAATAACTTAGAAATAATTCTTAGACAAACTAGGTCTACTTGCCAGTTTATCACAGAGTTAATTGAAACATTTAATTATTATTTTTGCTTTAACTGCTAATTCCATCTCCGAGGGAAAGTAATAGTAAACTACAAAGTAAAGCAAGCCACTCTTCAGTGCGTAATGTAGTTTAGATTGTCTACACTTTGATCAGAGAGGCAAAAGAAAATAATGTAATTACACCATGTACTTAACTGTGTAGGACAAGTAAGTCATTGATTAAACTGTTTTTAACATGATTAATCTATTATTCAGTCAATAATATAAGAACAGAATGAAAAGCATAGGGAGATTATTTATCTGCTTTATTTGTAAATAAATTAGGAACCAAAAATAGAACTACAGGCACATATAAACACTAATATTCATCCAACATAACTTGGTTTTAATTGAGCCTTTAATTTGTTTTATGTTTTAATATCTCTTTCCTTGGAGCCCTGGAATTACAGGAGAGCACACTACACTTGGTATTGATTCTCACAACTACTTTGGAAGGTAAAATTCTTCCATGCAAAATATTTGTATCACTTTCCCCTTGTTCAGTAAAATGCCAGTGTAATCATGTAAGTTGTAAGCACATTACACATGATACATTTTATCTCCTAGCCCTTCCCACTGGACACCGAGCATTACCTTCATGATCTCCTCCTCTCTCCCGAGACCTGACACCGTTTTCCCTGCTGTGAGCATGGCCGAAGGGAACTGTGGTATTGGGATCACAGCTCTGGGGTCTGACAGGCAGGACCCGAGTGGAACTGTCCCTTCCCTGTCCTGGGACCACAGGGAAATGTTACACTCTTAGCAGGACTTAGCAGACAGTGTGTGACGGACTGCAAATCCTCAGTACAGAGTCTGATATAAAAACCAAGTGCCTTTATCACACAATTAAATTCAACAGTGAATATATTTTAGTATTAACTGAGGTCCACAGGTGCTGTTTGATTTAAACTTTGGTGAGCATTTAGATGTACAATGATTTTCTTATAGTAAAAAGCACATCACCCTAAGTCCTCCTCCAGCCCCCACCACAAACCCACGTGTCGCCCCTCGTGTCTGAGGCAGTGGTGGAGCCTCTGTCCAGAGGGTCCTTTGCTGTGTGGTGGCTGCCGCCTTGGCCTCAATTATGCTAAAGGTTTGTGGCAATTCCTGTCCAGTGGAAATATTGCAATGCCTTTTCACCTCTGTCCTTCACAGCCGATTGCTCCTCGGGTTGCTGAAAACCTAGGTGGCCTGTTTACCTGTCATCCTCAAATACACCAAGGCATTAGACATAATCTTTCTGGCAGACGGGAAATAGACTTAGAGATACGAGGTCTCACCTCATGGTCCCACTGTTGGAATATACAGTAGCCGACTGAACTTTGACCTGAAATGTATTTTCAATGTACTGATTTCCTCTATTGAGATATAAAATTCACACCTATGAAATCTAAAGATCACTGGGTTTCAGCATATTCAAAATTAGTGTTACCCCAACAACCATATTCTCTAACATATTTCCATCATCACCAAAGTATCCCCCCTTATCCAAGATAAGTCATAGCCCACAGCCCCGCAAGAGCCCTGGCAAGTGTCAGTCCAAGTTTGCTCTTGAGAGCTGCATGTTCTGATCATTTCACGTGTATGTGTGTGACATACAAAATCATGTGCATCATAGATGCATGCATATACCCACACCACACACACACCCCTATGGTGGCTGAGAGGAGCTTTGGAAGGGAAGCTGCCCTGTTTCCTGGGTTTAATGAACATCTCCCCAGTGAGCTCAATGTCAACTAGCAGGTGAGCTGTGGCCTGCCATCCACATCAGCCAGTATGCCAGGCTTCCTCAGACCTTCAACAGAATGAGTTTCCATTCAGCACGTGACATCTTTAAGCCAGAAGAAATATCCTTTTACAGGAGATATTTCAGATGAGAAATTATTAGTTTTATATAAAAAGAAAAAAATGTATTATTTCTGAGCCCTACTTTAAGAAAGGCAGCCATGAAGAAGTAGGCTTTGGAAATCTTGCAGTCAGGTAGCCAAACCTAAAAGAAGACTTTGATCTGAAGCCGAGCAGATAACTAACATGGGCGGTTTAAACTCAGGAGACTTTGCTAAGCGATGCAAAGGAAGCTCTTGTCACTATCAGCATCCACTTTGGGGATGGGCTAATAACCAGGTTCAAGTTTTCAAACTCCCAGTTGAGAGAGCCACTTGCCACAGGCGGGTGGTGAGTGGAGGTTAGAGGGCAGGGAGCAGCTGGCTCCTGGGACCAGGCCCGAGCCCACAGGAGGAGGGGGACACTCACAGCTTGCTGGGCAGCGCTGGGAGCTCCCGTAGGATCTCTTCATACGGCTCCTCTTGGGCTAGGGAGGGAGGAGATAAGGGCTCTTTCGTCTTTTCTTCCCACGCAGCTTCGGCCTTCAGCAGCATCTCCTCGATAAACTCAGAGGCAGCGATGTCTACAGGAAACAACCATGAAGTCAGACAAGGTTGAGGTGAAAGCCCGGAGTGTATTTGCCTTAGTACCCCAGACATGCTGAAGAGGACTGCATTTATCGCACATGAAGCAAGTCAACGCACATTAGAAAGCAATGGTGTGGATAAAATTGCCATGTTGCCTTTTAAAAACACCACCTTGTCTTACCTCAGAAGCACATTTAATTACAAGGGAAAAATATGAAGGTAATATACACAGGATGGTGATGTGTGAAACGGAAAATCATGAAGAGTATTAGCGTCATTTCATTCCCACTAAAACTTCTCTTGTGTCTTGCTGACTGTGAGTCAAAATTATGAGGATACAGGTATGATCCTAAAATAGTGAAAGTTTAAAGTAAAAATGTATTACAGTAAAAGACACACTGTCATCAATTCCCCTCAAATTATTCCTCTTTGCATGAAATGCATTGATCCCGTCATTCTTGCCTCTTCCTGCAGCAGCTCTGGTATCCTCTTTCCTGAGGGTCTTTAGCTGCGCTGTCCTGGTTGCCTCAGGGTCCTGAATGGACTCAGAATCTTTTTGTGAACAATTTGAACTTGAGAAGAGCCAGAAGTCACCTGGTGGCCAATCCAGGGAATAAGGTGGACAAGGGGAATACTTCCATGTTTTTATGAGCCTGCCTTTCAGGTAAGTGGCAGCTGGCAGGAACATTCACCATCTCTATGATCACACCTGGTAAAACACCAGGGAAGAAGACTCCAGAGCTGCTTCAGAAACTAGCAAGAACAATGGGATGAGCGTGTTTAAAGTGTGGGGGTGTTGAGGGATTCATGGCAGTGTTCTTTATTCTAATATAGTTTTTTTTTTTTTCTGGTAAAATATTAAACATCCACCATATATTTTCATCCTCCTGTTGTTATGTTCCCAGGCCTGGGATGTGATAGAACACCACCCCGCCCAGTAAGCACCGTCTCCACGCTCCCCCAAGTGGTTGGAAGGATGTGCGAACACACTCAGGTCTGTTATCCACACAGTGGCTCCCGCCTCCTTCCGTGACCTTGTTTGTTCCTTTGGAACATCAACTGATACATTTCCTTAACAAGGACACCCAGACAACGATGCTTGAACATATGTGGGAGCAACACAGATACACATCGAACAGTTACACTTAGCAAATCTGAGTCTTTATCAGATCTGGAGACTGAGTCCCGTGGTGACACAGGCAGCCACGAACTCCCACGACCACTTCTGTGGACAGCTGAGCCTCATGGCTTACGGGCTGGTACACGTGGGAATGGGAGAGAGCTCGGTTTCCTCATGCTGGGACTCTAAGTTTCTAGCCCCCCTAAAAGTTACATCACCAACTACTTTTTCCCAAGGTATGGAAATTAAAGAGCCACAAAGTGATGAGCATGTAACACAGCAGCGACGTGGACTGTCACATGCTCAGCTGTCCTAGGGATGCCTGGGTCACTACTTCCTGCACTACCCTTTTTGCTGCTCCATTCTTCTTGCCCACTGGTTAGGTGCTCAGATGTCCTGCGTTTACTTGGAATCTCTCACTGCATCCCAGTTCTTTGTTCCTTGTGTGTGAAGGAAGTATTTAACTAATGAGGATGTCTGGGGGTCCACAATGGCCTTGATACTGTGTGTCCAGATGTGAGAGGGTAGTGGGCTGGTGGCCAACTCTGCGGGACCAGGGCAGTGGAAGCCACAGGGCAGAGTCTTCCTGCCCCAGGCTGAGGTGACCAGGGCAGAGGGACATTAGAAGTCTGTTTGCTTCCTGGACCACTGGCATTGGGTACTGACTGGGACATTTGACAGTGGCTTAAAAGAGGAAAAACAAGAGGGAGGGAGTCCCTGTGGTCCAGAGTCGGCCATCTCTTTTCTTGTCTGGAAAGAATCTAGGACAGGAAGTGACGACATGGCCCCAAAGGAACTAGACAGGGAGGATGCCATGGAGTAAGTACAATAAAGAAAAGATTAAACCAAAAGCTACCACATTGTTTTGCCTATTTAATATTTGCCGTATAGTTAGGCCGTGTTAAAGAGTCAGTGTCACCCTCACCAGCACAAATCTGAAGTTTGAGACTCCTTAGCTATTGTAGTTCTTTTGTTTTTTGTAATTTTAGCAGATTTAGCGGAGAAGTTCAATAAACAATAAGCAATCATTTGATACCCATAAAATAAAAAACAGAACAAATTCCTTCATTTTGGCTTAAATTAGAGATTTTCGAAATAATTGTACTCCCAGTACTCATCCATACGAACTCCTAAGAGGTTTTAGGTTGGTAGCGACCCAGCAACAAGATCAATAAATAGATTTATTCAGTTATGCAGATTAGTCGTTACCTTTAAACATTTTTTATACTCTGTGTTATGTATGCTAGATTCTTCTCGGTGTTTAAATTTCTGCTTTTAAAATTGGGGAATTAACTATGAGATATTTTGTTATTAGACTTTAACACTACGAGACCAATGTGATCTATTTATTAAACACATGAATACATGAAAAGGCAGTGATAGTTATAAAAATCTTTTTGTGTGTGTGTGTGCAGGGATCAAACTCACAACCTTGCACTCGCCAGGCAGAAGCATATGCTGTTGAGCTAAATCCCCAGCCCCTAAAAATATTCTTTTTTTTTTTTTTTTTGTCTTTTTCCTTTTTATTGGTACCGGGGATCGAACTCACGACTGCCTGCTTGCAAGGCCGGCGCTTATGCCACTGAGCTAAATCCCCAGCCCCCCTAAAAATATTCTTTAGAGAATAAGTAACCTTACATCCACATTACAAAGTTTATAAATTACCATGAGATGCTAGCCTCTGTTTCCCATATCTAAATACCCGTACCACCCTCACCTACCTGACGGCTTCTCTTCATTGCAGTTCATGAGTTTCGGGTTTGCCTGATGGGTCAAAAGCAGCTTCACCAGGTTCGTCTGCAACACAGAGAGAATTGCAGAGGAAACACCTCGCAGCTCAGCGGTCAGGGGTGCACAGCTGCCCGCTCTCCAGCCCGGCCTGGGAAGGGAGCACTGCGAAGCCTTCCCTGCACCGCGCCCCACTAGGAAAGCCCTCAGCAAGGTGCATGGGGTGGGTTACTGAGGGTTTGAGGGAGATACCTGATACCTTTTAGGGTGCTCTTGGATTATTTTCTGTGAGGAATTAAATGGCATATGATGTCTTCTTTTTGCTTTAGCAACTGGACAAAGTCTAACTCATTGGCACCTTCTCTCCTTGATAGCATTTGGGACATTAGAAAGCCATGTCCAATATTTAGAAAATTTGAACTTACATTTTATTGAAGAACTCTTTACTCATCCCCTGATGAAAGTTAATGTACTTCAAATCAACATGTGCACACAAAGTATATACATGTGAGTGTACCCATACATGATGTTTATGTAACAGTGAAAGGCCAATAGTTAGACTCAATGTACCTGATCTTTAATAATATGGCACTAAAAGTATCTTTGTCCATTTATCCCCAAAACCGCCCCTCTCAATTTCCCAGAGTTGACGAACATCAGGGATTTGGGGATGATGTTATCTTTCCATGCTTAGTAATACACAGGGAAGCGCACCTCACCTGCACTGAGGTTCACCTGCCCATTACACCCACAAAATGAAACTCTGGTCTGCAGATGCCTCTCCGCCTCTTCACCACCATCACTCTGGGGATCCTACAAGGTGAATTTAGCCATGGCTTCCTTACTTTCTTGGTTGCTCAGAATTGCACAGTTTATCCGCCTTCGTCTTAGTGCATGTGCAAGCCATTCCAAGGGACTCACTTAGCTTCGAAATATCATATGTTTGAGGTTAATGTGTATTTTTTGTATAGTCACATAACTGTTCTTGGTGCACACAGGCCGGATGCCTGTACCAAACCAAATGGGCCAGGACACCAGCAGAGAAGTCATTGCAGAATTTGAGTAGCCCCAATTTTTTCTTTTGCAGAATGGTCACTTAATTTATACACCTACTTCAACTGGGCTCTGACTGCTCCACCCTCTGTGCAACAGATTTAAAGTCAGGCATTTTTATAGGTCACCAGGTTCCTAGAGCCATGGAGTGAGTCCTTGGGACCCCAAACCGTTCTGCTTTGAAAATGAAAGCCTTGAGCCCCACAGGCCTCCCAGGCTGCCTGCTGGTCTTGGGTCACCTTCCTAAGTCATGATTTCCTAGTGTTTTCTGTTTGTTGGACTCTTCAGATTGGCCGGCCTAACACCGCTGGCGATCAATCGCTGGGGTCTGAGCATTTGTGCCCCTCCACAGTTCTGGTTAAACCTTAAGCCTCTGGGCGGTAGGATTAGGCAGTGGGGGCTTAGGGCAGACGCAGGCCAAGGAGGCTTTGCTGCTGAGAAGTGGACAGCGGACACCCAGGCCCTTCCACCCTGACACCTTCGCACTCCTTCCTGGCTCAGGCCAAGCCCTGGCTCCTGCATAATCAAAGAACTGGCTCAGGCCTATTGCATCAGAGACCCGGTCCTCACCAAAGGCGGAGGCTGCCAGCGCTTCGCGCGTGGCCTTCACAGCCCGCACCAGACCTGCTGTAGAACCCAGAGGCAGAGGCGGGGCTGTTCCTCATCCTTTTCCTCACCGCATTTTCCACAGCGGCACTGTTTATGTGGCTAATTTCGCTTCGCATGCACGTCACAGATATTTTTGCATTCTCTTTTTTAATCTCTCCCTTATCGGATAAAAAGTTGCAGAACATGGCTCATCTCAATCAAAACAAACAAATTTTGGAAACTACTGGTTCTTCTTACTGTTTGGTTTGATATTTTTCACTCTGATTTTAAACCTTGTACATTTACTGTGCTTATTTTATTAACCTCTTGCAAACATTATGTTCAGCATTTAGCACCTTCTTTTTGAAGCATTCATAACATAGAGACTTATTATTCTCTTTACAGTGTTAAAGGCCACACATTTCCATTAAAGCACCATATTTTCTGTATTGCATACAGAGATATGCATAATGTATCACCTTCATTATGATTTTGCTCTAAATGGCTTTAAATTGTCAGGATGATTTCATTCCTTATTTATGAAGTAGGTTCTCAGAAAATGCATGCTTCTTCAAGAAAAAACAGCTCATTTGCACTTGATAATTGTCACTGCATACCACTAATAGAAATTAGACCACAAAATTAGATGAAATCAGCTCACTTGTTAGTCTGGAAATGAGAAACTTATTAAGTGTATTTTTTAATACGTCTTTTACTGTAGTTTTTCACTTTTCATTTATTGGTATATATCTGCATGCTATATTCCTTGGGAGGAATTGGTACATGTACATAACACAGCTTAATTCCTTTTGAAATAATTTAAGTGTAGTTAAAATGCACAGACATTAAGCGAACAGCGGTAGAAGTCTGACCAAACAGGTAAACTGCACCACACCTGAAGTCTAGAACGGCCATGCCTCCACGTGCCATGTGCCATGTCACCCCCTCTCCCCCACTGTGCTGGCACCACCTCGGGCTGCTTTGCCGATTCTTAAGCTTCACTGAATTTCTCAGAGTTCAGCAAGACGGACAGGTAAGCAGGCAGTGGATAAGGACCTCAGCTGCTTCCCAGCATTCTTGGCATCACCCATTTCCCCACATGTTCTTACTTTTTTCCTTTATGGCTGCAGTGTCCTCCACTGCATTAATGTGTGTGGTCCCTTGCTGTCTTTTGAACAAAGCTGTCATGGACATTTGTCATTCTGATGGGCGTAGGTGTTCATTTTCCTTTAGAAAACGCTAGGAGTAGAATCCTGGGTGACCCGGTAAGTATAATTTCATCTTTTAAAGAACTGCCAGGTACCTTTGCAAAGGGACTTTAGCATTTTACATCCTCACCAGCTACTGTGTGTCACACCTCTCTAACGTTTGACATTGTCATTTTAGAACAATTTTAGCTATGAATGCCAGCTGTGAGGAGATATTTCCTTACAAGTTAATTTGCATTTCCCTCACAACTAACAATGCTGAACACTTTCTCATGTGCTCAGTGACCCCTTCTATATTTTACGAAGTGTCTAATGAAGATTTTTCTTCCACTTATTAGTGAATTTTAAAATCTTTTTATCATTGGTTCTGTACGTATTCATTACATGTTCTGGAAATATTTTTCAGTTGGAACTTACATACATTTCCTTGTGTTCTATGACTTGCCTACTTAACTTCTTAAAGATGTCTTTTGTGGTTATATCTTTTATGTCCAAAAAACCCTTCACCTAGCCAAAGATCATGGAAATACTTTATTTTCTTCTAAACTTTTAATATTTTAACTTTTCCATTCATGGGTCCTCTCGCAGGATGCTTTGTAAGTGGACTGTAAAGCCCAGCTGGTCTGCTTGTTTCCCAGTGACAGTATTGTAAAGGTTCTTTGTTTTATTGAATTGCTTTGTGGCCTCTGTAGCAAATCGATTGCAGATACATTCTACCCACTCGATTCCTGACTTTAGGTTCCATTGATCTAATATTCTGTCACCACTGAATTTCCTAGTTACCTTAATCAAAGCAGCTTTTAGTAAGTCTTAGCATCTTTCAAGTGAATAATGGTAAATCTTGAAAAAGTCTCTGTTTTTGAAATTGTTGCCAAGATAAGTTTGTTACAGGTCCTCTGCACCTCCATGTAAGTTTTAGAAGGAACATTTCTATTTCTATAAGAAAAGCAGTTAGTGCTTTGCTGGAAATGATATAAACTATAGTAGCTTTGAGTGGCTGACCATACAAATTACCATAAAGGCAGTGGCTTAAACCATCAAAATGCAACACCTTACGCTCACTCCTGTCGCTGCGTTAGCTCCCTGGGCTGAAGTCAGGGTGGTGTGAGTGCAGGTTCTCCTATTGTGCAGGGGGGAACCCAGCTTTGGCTTGCAGAGTTGGCCCGCAGGCTGGCTCACTGCCCTCTCTTTCATCTCTTGAGAAGCAACAGTGCACCCCTGGGGTCACTGTCCAAAGTCACCCTCCTCTGACTCTCAGCAAAGCATGGGTTTCTGCTTCTGACAAGGACCTGTGGGATTACAGGGTCCCAGATGGATGAGCCAAGAAAATTTTCCCAAATCATGATCTTAAACTTAAGCCAAAAGTTCTTCAGCTTGGAAAGGCAGGGCCACGGCAGGTCCCAGGGTTTATGGTGTTACATGTCTAGAATCACAGTGCTGGGTCCCCTGGTCCGTTAGCGGTGTCTAAGGTTCTGTCTCAGCCCGTGAACGAGACTCATCCATCCACTCTCAGCCATCACTGTAAGTGTGAGCAGTTTTCAGCACAGGGATCTTGCACACGACTTGTTACATGGATCATGTAATACTGTGCGAGACCTGTATCATTCCTTGCTTTGCTTTTGTACTGTTACTGTGAGCAAATTCACTGAATAATTTTAATTTTTAAAAACTACTTTGCGATTCTTCTAGAATTTTTATACTTTTTCCCTTTTTGTATTTCATTTCTATTTCTTGCTTTATTATACTGACTCACATGGGGTTGGCTTCTTCAACTTTTTTTTTTCTTTTATAATATTTTCTGTGACATTCTTTAGCCCTTCTGGGCATCCTGTTCAGGGATCCTAAAATGTCAATTATTAATTGAAGTCAAATATCAAATATAGATTTGGTCAGTATTCTTTCTATAAAACTTCCTAGGTTTCACTTGTGTACTTCATTGGCAAATGTCCGTTAGGTTTGCTCAAATTAATGTTAGGTTTTTCATAATACAAATTGTTTTAGTAATAAATGTTTTTACAGCAGGGCCAGATAATTGGAAGCTTATTTTGATTTTCAAGTATATAGTTTACTAGTACTAAGGAAAGAAATGTTCTTTTAAAGCCTGAAAGATAAAAAGTTACATAGCATATTCTCAGAATATTAAAACAGTTTCAAGTCAGAATTTTGTTTTATATTAAGGATGTTAGAGAGCCTGTGTTTTTCAAACCACAGGGAAGGAAGGAAGGGAGGATGGGCAGAAGGAAGGAAAGAAAGAAAGGATAGAGGGAAAGACAGAGGGACAGAGCTAGGAGAAATGAAGAAAAGAAGATAAGGAAAACCAACAATTGGGTAAAATTGATTTTGTTTACCACAAGTTAAAAAGAACACAGTAAACAAAAAAGATTTTACCCTTTTAAAAATCTCAAGGTTTAATAATTATGTTGTACTTCTACATCCAACTTGGGGAGTCTGCCTGCAACCTTCTCTCTCTAAATCTTAAATACAGAAACCATTTAAGTAATAAAAGCAAATACATTCTCCATAAAAGCTCTGACAATAAAAGTGATTTCATTTTATTTTGGGCCCATAAAAGCAAACACTCATGTGGGATGGGGATCTTGTCCCACAGGGAAATTCCTCTCTGACTGTAAAATCAGTATTTCCCACGGGCCTCCATTAGAAATCAGGGAGGCAGAATTGCGGGAAACTGGCGGGGCTAGTTCCTGTGCACTCTCCCTGGAAGCCCTGTGTGCACCTCATCAGAGACTGCAGGTAGGAAAATCATCTCCACCACCAAGGAGACCTGAGAAGCAGCCAGAGGGCTGGAGGCAATCCACTCACATGTGAGTGCACAGTCATGTGTGTGTGTGTGTGTGTGTGTGTGTGTGTGTGTGTGTGTATGCATGTGTGTCAGTGTAAAAAGGGAACAGTGAATAGCTGAAATTTAAATTCCTGGCCACAGACTTTATTCATTTATTTTAGATACTTCTATTTCAGTTCAGTTAACTTTAGCAAGTTAATTCTTTGATAGGCACTTCAAGTATCTCTTTAAAAATTTTAAAAAGTTGCAATGAGCAGAACTAACACATACCCTGGCTCAGATGTTCAGGGGTTTTTAGGTCACTGCATGAGGGGAAATGACACTGCTGTGGGTCTCCAGGAACCCCAAAGCTGTGGCCCTTGTGCCCCCATATGCCCACACTCAGCACACCTGTAGTCCCACAGTGGGAGGCTGAGGCAGGAGAATAGTTGTGAGTTCAAGACCAGCCTGGGCTACAAAGTGAGCTCAAGGCCAGCCTGCACTGCATAACTGCATAGACGCTGGCTCAAAAACACAAAAACAAAAACAAAATAGTGGGGTGAGGAAGAAGCACCATGGGTGAACTAAGCAGGGGCCCTGTGACTTGGGGGCTTACCCAGTGTGCTATGGAGTCATAGTTAACTTCATAGCCTGGAAAGGAAATCACAAGTGGACACAGTGTGATTGTGTGTGCAGGGGAGTGACCGTGGCCACTGTGTGGAGACCAGACAGGGGGAGGACAGTGCAGCCTGGTAGAGGATGCCAGTGGGGCCAGGATGGATGTGGGGACACACAGAGCAGTTAAGGGTGATTTCTTCTCAAGCAGCTCAAACCACCCTGCGGGTAGAGTCTCTAGACACAGGGTACCGGGAATGCCAGGAAGAGGCAGGAGAGCAGCTGGCCACTTGCTCTGTTTGAATGAACGACACCGACGAATCGATTAGACACAGATCAGGGTGAAAACAGAAGACGATCGTGTCCCTTTTCCGCAAGCTGAATTTGAGGTAATGCCTCGGGGAGGGGGATGCATGGTCCAGAACTAGGGAGGAATGGAGCTTCGGTCTCCATCTGTCCTCAGAGATCGGGCTCTGGAGCAGGGTGACTATGATTTACACCGCTGAATGTGTACCTGGAATGCACTGAGAAGAGAGATCTACTGTCTCACTGCCAGCACACATGCAAAAATCAGCAATAAAGAAAAGTCAGGTGATAGATACATTAATCAGAGTGTCGTGATCATTTAACAAAGTATATATGTATGGACATATCAGGTGGTATGCTTTAAATATATATAACTTCATGTGTTAATTATCACTGAATGAAACTGTTAATAAAAAAAAAAAAAGAACTAACTAAGATGTTGAAAGGAAGATGGGATCCAGGTTCAGGAACCCTGGATGGTAGGAACTGTTGATGGGCAGGAACTCATTTCCCCACCCACAGGGAAGGCAAAGGTAGACCCTCCAATCCCCAATTCCTAACCTAGAGACAGATGGTGGCCTGTACAGATTCTCCCTCCCTGGTTTGGACTATCCCATGAAGTGTATCAGGTGAGGTCAGCTAAATGATCCCACCAGTAATAAGCTTCTGGTTATTATTCTGGTTGGTGCTCTCTTTCCTTGGAGACTTCCTTCCTACAGGGCTGACTGGGGGGTTGGGGTCAAGCAGAATCATTCCCTAGTGGATCTGTCCCAAATCTGGGAGACCCTTGTCCTCTGGAAATTACCTCACTCCACCCAGAGCTGAGGGGCTGCCTGCCCTGGGAAACCACTTCCTCCAGCAACAGTGATCCAGAGGCAGCAGATGAAGCAGACAGACTGGTCCCTGGAACCACAGTCCACAAAAGGAGACCAGGACCCGAGTGTGAAACCTAGACACAAGACTACTTGCTGACATAGATTCACACAAGACCAAGCCTGACTGCAGTCCCAGAATGAACAAAGAAATATTAAAACCACTGGTTACATCAAGATCAGGAAGTCACAATGAGGAGAGAGCATGAGCATACACAGGAGTGGCTGTGAGCAGCTCTCTTAAGAAGCTCTCGATAGGGGAACCACAAATTCTCTTGAAATGAATAAAAAAATTTATCAAAGAAACTGAAGTTATAATAAAGAGCCAAATGGAGATCATAGAAATGAAAATACCAACAAAATATGTCAACTCATAGGAACTACTGAATTTGACTTGCAACCAGATAAACCAAAACTCATACACTAGAGTCTCATAAAAGAATTAAATCTTTTCAGTGTGTCTAGTGATTTATTTACTTTAGAAAGCTTTTGTGATCTAGTCTTATGAAAGTGGTTAAAAGACAGAAAAAGTCAGAAATTAGGCCTTACTTGCTTCAAATTACGTTAGCATTCCGTCTTCCATCCCTCCCTCCCCCCTCCTTCCCTTCTTTCCTTCTGTAGGGGACAGATCCCAGGTGTTCTATCACTGAGCTGGATGCCTCTCCTTTGGGTACCTTCTAACAAGCAGGCCAATGCTTCCAGACTTAGGGATTCCCAGAAGCAATCCCTGAATACAGCGGGACATTGGGCTGATTACCATTTCATCAGAAAAGCTAGTGGGCTGGGTTCTTCTAAAACATATGGTCTGCTGTAAGCTCCTCACCCAGGGTGTTCTGGTTTGCTGCTTTGCTAGACAAGGAGCCTGGTATGGTGGCGGGTGTCCTGACACCCTGGTCCGGAGTCCACTGTGTCCACCAAGATGAGATCAGACCCAGGTTTTAGCTGTCTGCAGCCCAACCACAGAACCAGCCCACGAGTCACAGCTCCACAGCCTGCTGCCTGCATTTATGAGATTAATCACACTTACAGGCACTGTTTTCAAAGCAAAAATGTTCTTACTGGTTTGAAAGCTCTTCCCAAGGTGGCTTTTTGTTTTTGTTTTTTAGGTATATATAGTGCTTGACTTGCAAGTGCCTTTAAGTATTTCGGCAACTGTGATAGACATTTTTCACACTGGTTAGTAACAAAGACATTGAATTTACTCTAAATTTACTGGGTATTTTACCCCCAAACTATTTTGAAATCAGAGCACACATAAAATGGTTGTTGTTTATACTGTTGCCAAGACTCTAACAGACTAGTATCTGTATTTTAGAACTATAATTTTGATACTAATGCATTTTTGGAAACAGTGTCATGTGCTCCTGTGTAAATTCTCTAAGTTCTGGGTTCTGTTTCTTCCTCGGGATGCGAGGGACTCAGTGAGAAATTGACTTATAAATAGCTACAGCCAACAATCTATTCAGAGAAATCTGCTGTCCACCCTTCAGTCATGAAAATGAAGTGTAATTTATAGGAAAAAAATAGTACATAAAATGCAATTTGTTTTAATCTATGCACTGTAAAAAACAAACAGAATTATGGTAGATGCATGAAACTGTCTTGTGTTACATTCAGGAAAGAGTACTAGTGCTCTCCCATGAAGAATGATTTTGATTATTTGTCCAGAAATTTTGACTAAACTATGCAAAGTTGTGAGGAATGCATATTTTTGTGGGCCCTTGTAAAAGTAAACATTTTTATTTAAATACTTCAATATTTGTACCGTAAAGAGTCACCATTAAAATTCAGAATATACTATCACTACTACATAACTCAGAACACAGTGACAGTTGAATATGAAATTATTCACTGATGAGAAGACGATTTCACAGATGTGATCTAGAAACTCCCTTTACCTGGCCATACTTGGCTGCCAGGTGGAGAGGTGTCCAGTACTGGTTGTCCGGGACGTTGAGGTCTCCGCCATGTTCCAGGAGAAGCAAGGCCACCTCCTTGTAGCCACTGGCACACGCCATGTGCAGCTGCAACCAAAACACATGCTGCTGTTGGACACGCGGAAAACACAGTGGGTCAGTGGGACACATTCAGTGGTCCACAGAGAGGGTTTTCACAAAAGGTTGGCTCCCAAATAGCATAAAATAGAAGAACATATATATAATTTTTTGATTGATCATCATTCTTTAAAAGAAATTATGCATTATTGAAACATATTAATGATTATTTCCCCTCTGACCTTGAGAGTCTGTAATTCCTACCCTCTCCCATTCTCCTCTGGAATCTGAATATTTAAAAATGCAAAATGTAATAATTCAGCATTTCCCTACTTCCTGCCCACAAGCCAAAGAACCACTGAGCAGCTTTAATATTTCAGGAAATTAAAAGACAACTCTAAAGCCTGACACATGACCCATGGCACATTTCTGTTTCTGTGGAAGGTGCCAGGCCCAGGGTGAGGGTGTAGGGATGGGGTGAGCTTCAAGCTGACTCTGTGGTCACTTTCTATTGTTCAGTGCGCAGCTTCATTTCCTCAGTGCACCCTGAAGTTCAGAGATGAAGCTGTAGGGTCCACAACAGTGAGATCAGAACTCAGAGCACTAGCTTTGTGTTTACATTTTACAAGTGAGGGAATTCCATTTCTAAGGCAGCAGTGCCTTTTCTAAGTAAACTCTACTAAGTATGCGATTTATTTCATAGACATGATAAAGAACATAGTATTGTGAAAGGAAAAAGAAATAGTTATCTTAAAAGCAGCGAAACCAATGACATTTAAGGTTGGAAGCAAAGGCTTTTATAGCTTTTTTTATTATATAGTAAAAACATTTATTAAATATATGCAGTGATAAAATTTACCAGAACATTTGTTTTCCTGCCTTTGGACTTAGATGCTCTTCAATCTGCAGTGTAGATTTACTTTATTATTTCTTGTACTTGCAACTTCATTGGAGTAACAAATAATTTACCTAATTTAAAGCAAACACATAGCTGGATTCCTAGACCAAATTTCACACAGATCTTTCCCACTGCTTATACTCAGATTTCATCCTCTTCATATTCTAAGCAGCACCAAGAATAATCTGTACACAAGTATTTTAGAAATACCATTTTATCTACTTTTCCTCATAGAAAACTATTTGTCTTCTAAATCTGCTCGCTCACTGCTAAATCTGTTCAGGAAATCAGTAAACACTGAGCAGATTAGGCTCTGCTATTTGCAGTAACATCTGCATTTCAGAGGACTTTAAATTTTGGTGTGAAATGGAATCCACACAGCTGAGTCAAGGCAAACCTGTGAGCTCTAGGGTGTGTAAACAGTAGCAATGATGCCCACTTAAAGCCCTGAAGGAAGAGGAATTCCTTCCCATAACAGAACCAGGTCCCAGCTCTGGGAAACATGTCCAAATCTACCCCTTGCTGGGCTGTAAAGCAGCCAAGACAAGAGGAGAAACAGTCCTGGCTCCCTGACTGGAGAAGCTGCCCCAGACGCTGGTTGTCTGCACTGTCTGCAGGCTGGAAAGTTTCATTCCAGGTCCTTGAAAAGAATGGAAGAGAGAGAGGGATAGGGCTGGAGTAAGGGGAGAGGAAAGTCCAGAGGGTCCAGAAGCCCAGCACACATGGACCAGCTGCCTCATGAGGTGCGTATGCGTATGTCATGGTTTATGTCTGTGGCCCCCAGGCCTCATGAGTTTGAATTGTGCATTTGTTATTTGTTCATTGTCTAGTGCTTGGATTGATGGTATCAGTGCTCCACCCACAAAGGGGTGGAGCCAGGATGTGATGTAATGGCAGGAAGAAGGTGTGTCTTGCTCTTTGCTGGTTCCTGCTTGTTGTTTGCAGCCACCATGAACTGCGGCCCAGCCATGCCCGCCTGCCTTGGAGCCAACTGAGTGTGGACTGAAACCTCCAAAAACTGTAAGAAATAAACCTTTCTTTTCCCAACTCGGGCTTCAGGTATTTCGCCTTAGCAATGAGTAAAAAGTAACTAAGACAGAATTTGGTACCAGGAGTGGGGTCGTTTGCTGTGACTATACCTAATGATGTTTTTCGAGAGGCTTTGGAAATGGCTTGTGGTCAGAGTTTGGAAAGGTTCAGACGTGTCACCTGGATAAGTAGAGCTGGAGCAGCTTAGGCTGTTCTGTAGAGGAGATTCTGGTCAGAGCTAAGGAGACCAGAAGACTGATAGAAAGCCTGATGGTAAAGACCAGGCTTGGGAGGTTTCTGCTGGGAAGAAGAACTGCATTGGTTGTTGGACTCCATATGATGTGTATTACGGCTTGGCAGAAAGTTTGTCTGAATTTTGCTCCTGCCCAGAGACTGCCTGAGACTGAGACAAAGGGCAATGACTGATTAATCTTGAAAAAGAAATTAAAAAGCAATCAAACATTGAGGCTGTGGCATGGCTATTGTTGGTGGCTTTTAGCCAGCTTTATGTTGCAAATCAAGAGCAAAGAGCCCAGCAGGATAATTTGCAATACTGTGTTTGACCAGAAGGAAAATGCCAGGAAGGCTGTGGGTTGTAAAGATAGACTTGAGATTTTGATTGTTAAAGAGAAATGGAGAGATAAGAAAGATGGCCCTGGGGCATCCCAGGAAGCCGGTCCCCACCCTTTGCAGCCTCACTACTAAGGTAAAGGCATTTGCTCAGAGGAGAAAGCTGCAGAGCACCGGGTTCCAAAATGGCAACAGAGGCCACATGAGGTTCCAAGATGGCAACAGAGGCCACATGAGGTTCCAGAATGGTGTCAACATAGAGAAGCTTTTCCTCACAATCAGGCAAACAGAGCCCTGCAATCCAGGCAACTGACCCCTACAGCAAAGAGAGAGAAAAGCCTGGCTACTGCTCCAGCTAGTAGCAAACCTTGGCAGCATCAACAAGGTGCTGATTTTAGGTGCACGGAAAATGCACAAATTCTGAGGGTAAGATGGCTTCCAACTCAATTGCAAAGGGCCTGGCAGGGCAAGCAGTGTGCCCCTGAGAGGTCAGTTTGTGAAGATGTAAAGGTGAAGCCAAAGGTGCAATGGAGACCCTAGAAGTTTGGAAAAGCCAGGAATGTGGATGATCCAAGGAAAGCCACAAAAAAAATGAGCAGAGAGGATTTAAGAGAAAAGCTGCAGGAGTTGAAATTGCCAGAAGTGCCGTTGGGGTGGAAGCATCCAAGCCTTTTGGTGCTTGCAACCAGATTGCTTCAGATGCTGAGCATGGAACTCTAGGACTTAATGTTGGTCCTGCTGGATGCTGGACTTGCTTTGTTTCCAATGCTTTATATTCCCCTGTTTGTAGCTTTTGGAATGGTAATGTTTATCTTGTGCCTTTGCATTTCAGAAATGTTTAACCTTGTTTCAGTTGTACAGGGGGTTACAGTTAAGAGTTTACCATAGATCTCGGAGGAGACTTGGGACTTGGACATTTCAGCCATGCTGAAGCTATTAGGACTTTGGAAACTCTTGGAGGTGGACTAAATGTCTTTTGTATAAAGGATGTACATGAGTCCTGGGGGCCAGGGGTGGAATGTCATGGTTTATGTCTGTGGCCCCCAGGCCTCACGAGTTTGAATTGAGTATTTGTTATTCATTCATTGTCTAATGCTTGGATTGATGGTATCAGTGCTCCACCCACAAAAGGGTGGAGCCAGAATGTGATGTAATGGCAGGAAGAAGGTGTGTCTTGCTCTTTGCTGGTTCCTGCTTGCTGTTTGCAGCTGCCATGAACTGCGGCCCAGCCATGCCCGCCTGCCTTGGAACCAGCTGAGTGTGGACTGAAACCTCCAAAAACTGTAAGAAATAAACCTTTCCTTTCCCAACTTGGGCTTCAGGTATTTCGCTTCAGCAACGAGTAAAAAGTAACCAGGACAGCATAGCTATTGCAAAAATATAGGAATAGAAAGTTGCGAAAAGAAAATCTCAGGAGAAGACAGCATCGCTCCGTGTAATAGGCTCCCTACACCATCAGATAATTTTAAAATAACCTCACCACATGATGTCAGCAGTAGAGAGCCTTCACTTGGGTTTCACTGACCTCTGAATGGTAAGCAAATTGCTGGACTCAGGGTCCAGTGAATGCACTTGGATTGGTTTAAGAAGATAAAAATTCAAGTCTGGTTTCTGAAAGGAAGTTTACTTGCACTCTGTGTGTGGACTGGTCGGTAGATGTCAGATGCCCACATGTGAACCGCTGGTCACTATAGGGTGTCCCAGAAAGTCTCCTGCTTTCAGGTCCAGGGAGACATTGGGTGTGACTGCAGCACAATTCCTATGACCTAGGAAGTCACCTATTCAGCTGCAGCAAAGGTCAGGACATCGAGTTGGCCCCATACAGATTATCACTACTGCCCCATCTCATGTTTTCTCATCTTGTGAAATGTTCTGCCCTCATTTGACTGATGGAGAAACTGTGGCTCAGGAATTTAGCATGCAGACTAAGCAGATCCTGCCTGAGACTACAAGCTTTTGCTGTGCCCATTCTCAGGTTTTAAACAGCACATGGTGGGCACAAATGTGTTCAGGCCAGAGGCAACATTGCCATGGGAATGCTCCAGGCCCTTCTGGTGTGATCTCACCAGTAGCTGTGTTAACGTACACATTTCTCCTTCCTGTTAGTCACCTTGCCTGCTTACGCTCCTTTGTGTTACGTTCATAGTGGAGGATTGTGGTATATCTATGAGCACTTCTGTCCTCCCTGGGCTCACAGCCAGCGGCACAGACGCAGGTGCTGAATGTGGCTTCTGGCCTCCTGGCTCACGCTGCTGCCCCACAGGGGACCCAGTGCACCTCCCACACAGGAGCATGGGAAGTCTCAGTCCCATGCCTGGGGATCTAGAGTCCACTGAGGCAGGGTGTGCTCAGGCAAGGGATCCTGGCCAAGGACAGCCACTGGGTCTTTAGAACATCTGTCCTCAGGCTGCCGAAGGGGCCACCTTCCTACTGAAGCAGGACAAAGCCCGTCTCTCTGTGCCTATTTCACCATCTGCCCCGTAATGATGACAGCTTTAGCTGTTAGAAAACGCACTGCAGACCACAGGTTCTT